GAAAAAATAAACGATCCCTACGTTTACTTTGCACTAATATTCACATTGAAAAATTGTTGTCATGATTCATAACTGACCGCACTGCTGTAGATCTGAATAGTGAAAATTTAAATAATTCACTGTGAAATTTAATAATAATAACAACTTGGGATACTCCAAGCAACACAGTGGTGTTTCATTCCTCAGTGCATCCGCATTTTGAACAAAATGGTTGAGCGAATGATTCAGTGGATTAAAGTCAGTCCTTAATGAATCTATCCTCATTTTCCATCATTTTATATTTCTGTATTCAAACATTTATTTTGAAAACATTAATCACATAACATTACTTATGCAGTTGTAATTGCTGTGTAAATGCCTGCTGAGCTGCAATAAGCAGTCTTGCAATAAACTTTAGATGCAGCTTTTCTGCCAGCTCTCCAGTGCGCAGATGGATTTTGTTGATATACTGATTTAATTTAATTGGTAACTGTCTTATAGTGTCTTATTATTCTAAATGAATTCATTAAATGTAAGTATTTGACATTCAAAGATTGTGTTTAGTGAGGTTAGAAAAGATGTGCCCTTATAAAAGGAAATATAAGAGGGAAAAGTTATTTGTCACTAACAGTAAGAAATTAATTGCCTTTGTTATTACATTGATTCTTTGTCAATCTATTATGCTGTGTAGACTGTGCATATACATCTATGTATGGACAACATAATTGTTTGTGGATATGTTTAAATAAGTAATAAAGAAGTACTAGACTTAGTATATATACATAGGTGTAATATTTTACATTATACCCAAAATTTGACGATTTGAACAGCCTGCATGTATGGTACTTCAATGGTGCTTTGTCATTATTGGAGGTTGACAGCGTCCATCCCCATTCGCTTTCATTGTATAGCAAAGAGCATGTTGGGAATTTTGCCGAACAACTTTTGTTTCACAAAGCAAGTTTTGTGGATTTTGAACAAGATGATGATCATATTTTTGGATTAACTATTTTTTAAAATTTATTACTATACTTTAAAGGGGTCATATGATGCGATTAGATTTTTTCCTTTCTCTTTGGAGTGTTACAAGCTCTTGGTGCATAAAGAAGATCTGTAAAGTTGCAAAGACTAAAGCCATGTAAATATGTGAGCAATTGATTTTTCCATCACCACAGAGGGGAATTTGGAAAAAGCAGTAATAGATAATCCTATAATAGATAATCTAAGAATGACTCATTATGAAACCTAGATATTCATGTTTGAATGCTACATTTCTGTTTTAGTGGGTGAATAAAAGTTCATGCTTACATCTTCTGGCGGAGGTGGAGCAGGAGCCCGTCTACCCTTTGTCTGACCCAGCGACAGGTTGTCGAGCTGTTTGGTCACAGCGCTGCTTAAGTTTGGTAATTTAGATTCAGACTTGGGGGGCTTTTTAGGCACTTCTGAACTGGCTGGCTTCCTCTTTGGTGGACGAGGAGGTGGTTCCTCAATTTTGCTTATAAGTTTATGATATTCATAGTAGAATTTCTCAGTCACCTCAGTGACTGTCTCTACGTGAAGTTCTGGGGACTCGGACCACGGCAAATGATCAGAGGTGAAGCAGAGAGACATTTGTAACCAGCGTACTGGCAACTCAAAGCACCAGTCTGGTTTATTTGGTAGGCTCGTCAACACCGTGGTCTCCGTGAAAGTCTCCTCAAGCTTAAGTGCTGGTAACCCCATCAGGGGATCTTTTTCTAGCTCTTTATCCCGAGTCACCACTTTAATATCTAGAGGCAAAGAACTACTCGCTAAATCTGTTAATTTATACTTCTTGTTGTCTGAAAGCTTTTCAACAAAGTGACCTGCCATAAACAGTGGCAGAGAGATTTCCTTACTATCGTCTTCCTCATCTTCCTCATCCTCGTCGTCCAGCTCCATAGTCTGTTTGCAAATTAGACTTTCTATTTTCTGAGCAGCTCCTGATGAATCCTTGAGTCCATCCATCAGCGCCATTCCCAAAACCTCCAGCTGCTCGCCGACACTGAGCGCAGGCATTCCCTCTTCCTCTACCGCCTCGCAGTGACGAGTCACACTTACTTTCAAACCTGGAGACTGGGAGGATGCCAAGTGTAGCTCGTACACTGATCCAAATTCCCGGGCCCTTCTTCTCATTCTTCCACCATAGCTCTCTGAGATGATGAAGTACTGTTTTCCCTTCCTCCCCTTTGGAGTTGAGGCTAATATCATTGTTGTTGTGCCATAACTATGTAACACGAGGCGCCTGCCTCTTTGCAGTTCTTCAAACCAGCTGCAATTAAAAAACTTATTGCCTTCTGGGCTATCAAGGATCTCTGCCATAGTTGGGAAGGACTCCATTGGCTGACTCGCAACTTCAGTCATTGATAGCGGTGTTATGAAAACTAAATCCTGGAACTGTTCTGTCACGTCCTGGACATCCACTTCCAGGCTGGATGGGAACTTGACTACGTTCTTCCTCACTGTATGTAAATATAAAAATTCAATCATGAACACATTTATTTCAAGACCATTTCCATGCATCAAGCCTCTATGATTAGGGTGTCCAATCCTGCACCTGGAGAGCCAGTGTCCTGACGAGTTTAGCTCCAACCTGCCCCAACACACCTGCCTGGATGTTTCTAGTAATCCTGAAGACCTTGATTAGCTGGTTCAGATGTGTTTAATTAGGATTGGAGCTAAACTTTGCAGAATAATGGCCCTCAAGAAGCACTCTGGACACCCCGCCTCTGATGTGTACTCAGTCCCACTCGTTAAGGACTCCAACTCTGCTCCAACTCCCCAACCTGTAGTTTTCAGGTAAACCCAAAGACCTTGATTAGCTGGTTTAAGTATGTTAGATTAGAGTTGGAGCTAAACTTTAAAGGATCCAGAAGCAGGAGTGGACACCCCTGCTCTATGACTGGTTGACTATGACAGGAACAACATACAAAATATGACAGTGATAATCTCAGGTAATGATTATGTGCTTCATTCAATGTTAAAAGTGTCTAATGTGAGTTTGAATATTATTTTGTGTTATCTTTATAGCCATAGTGAAAGCAACAATAGATTTTACCTCAGATCTTGAAAATAAATTAAAGCAAACTTTTACGTTAAAACAATGAACTCACTGCAAACCAGCACATGTATTCCATAACCACTCACTCACTCACTCACTCAAAACTGTTCAGTCCATTCACAGTTGAATCATCTATTTTCCGTGTCCACTTTTCTTTTCTACACACTCCCCATATTTTTGCTGTCACATCGTATCTACATTGGATGCGACAAAGCATTGCAAATCATTTGAACGTTGTGTCAGTACGTTATAAATAGAACGAGTCAGCAGTTTACTGTCGGGGATTTGTCGTGTCGCGCCGCATCCAGTGTTGACAGCATCACTGATTATAATGGGTTCTATTGTATTTTATTGTGCCGCGCCGCTCGCGTCCGGTGTAGACACGATGTAAGTTACTGTAGCTTTCTGATGCTGCGTTTGAATTTTCATGCCACATTATTTTAAATTAGTGCGGGTCAATCTGTTTTCTCTCACGGGCCGCCTATTGAGGAACCCTGCCCTATAGTGTTTGTTATAATGCAAAATTATAATGCGCTACCATTTTGTTCATTTAAATGGGGAGTCATCTCAATTATCACCAGTAAAATATGGAGTGCCACAAGGATCTGTCCTAGGTCCTCTGCTATTTTCGATATACATGTTGCCCCTTGGTAATATTATTAGAAAATACGGGATTAGT